AAAATTAAGCCACAAATCTTTATATATGCCTCATCTGAGGTAATCATATGAATTTTAAAATAATAATAATATTACATTTTTTATAGATTTCCTTTGAAACAAATTCTAACATATAACATTGTGGTTCCTGATTTTAATCACTTTAATGATTCTGATTTGTTCTTCAAATCTATTTATTTATATAAAAATGTGATTTGCATCCAAAAACTCAGCAAGTTTTGAAAAACCTCACAATTTTGGTTTTATTGAATTACCTAGTAGCCATCTTGCTTGTTGCTGCTAAATAGTCTACAAGACATTTTTGTGGCAAGGAGATGAGTCTACTCCCCTCTGCTCAGGAACTGGTCTTCCCTGACTGGCCCAACAACACCTCCCCTCGGTCTCTGCAGCCCCCTGCTTTGTTCCGTTATGGTATTTGTCAGCATTTGAAATTTATATATCTGATCGTTTACTTCTTTATTGTCTGTCTCTCTCATTAGACTCCACTAGGGAGGGTCTCTCTCCTTTTCTACATCTCTCTCTTATATATAAAACACATGAAGTTCTCTCTGCCCTGTGTCTCTTTGTGCCTGGCATATAGTAGGCAAGCCCACAAACTCTGTTTTAAAAAATGCATACCACTGTAATTCACCGTTATCTGATCTCTGTTCTCATCAACTAGACCCGGGGCTGCAAACGTTTTTTGTACAGGGTCAAAGAGTCAGTATCTTAGGTTTTACCATCTCCTTGCCTATTCTTCCTCCCCGCCACTCCCAACAACCTTTTAAAAACACAGAAACTACTTTTAGCTTGAGGGCCATCTGAAAACGGGCTGAGGGTGGGATTTGGCCTGCAGGGTGTAGTTTGCCAATTCTTATGCCAGACTCTTAAGTGTCTTAAGGTCAAGCCTGAGTTATTTGCTTATATCCCCTGGGAACTTTCACAGTACTGAGCACATATAGGTTCTCAATAAACCCAGAACTCAGTTGAATTGGGTTAAAGTGATTGGGTTAGGGGTAGAGAGGATAAGACATTAAATGGAACAGCCCAAATGGTCAGATTTAGAATAACAGGCATTTTGCCAGGGAGACATGGCCTCTGGTCCAGGCTGGATGACTCAAAGGGTCACTTACCAAGATTTATGGGTGATGGGAAAAGACAGCTTGTCATACAATCACACGCTCTCTCACTTGCCTTGGGAGTCACAGATCTCAATACCCTCCACTTCGAAGCAGCAATCCTGCTGCCAGAGGCCGCTGCCGCCTCTCTGGGGCCATGAAGAAGAGCCGATGTTTCTCCCAGTGACTGCTTTTGTTCTGTGTTACTGTGCTTGGCTGACTGGTTCTCTTGTCACCCAGCATTCAGAAAAGGTGCTGGCTTAAAGATAACATCCCCCTCCAGAGCTTGGCAAATATGGAATTACCTCCATAGCCACTACCAACAATTCTTAGATGAGGGCCAGGAAACCTTCCTGAAAACAGTTTTCGGATGGCAGCACTCCCTGATCCTTGCATGGTTTCAAGTCTCACAGGATGTGGATCATGGATGAAGGAAGGAAGGAAAGAAGGAATAAGTGGATGAAAAAACTCCACGGCCACGATCATGGCCACATCCCCACTCCTGAAACCGTCAGAATGTTGGGAGGTTGCAGTGTCTTGTGAGAGATCCCAGAATATGCACAAGGTTTTCCCCGAGGGCATTCTTGCTTCCGCACACTATAGCAAAGTGTGAGGTCAAAGCCATCTGCCTCAAGAGACGAGTGCCTCTTTCCTCTAGCATCCAAAATGCTCCGAATTATTACCAGCACGTGCCCTAGTGGCCGTCTTCTTCCCGGGCCTGGGAGAGGGGCGGGAAGGAAGGAGGGCAGGGGTGTTATCTGGTGTCCAGCCAGGTGTCCACTCTCCATCGAGCCGTGGAACCAGCCCCAGAAGCCTGGCTCCATCTCTAGGCACCTCCTTCCTTCTTCATGTTCTTGAGAACTCAGAACACTTCACTGCAATGTTAAGTCTCTGCCATCCCATATTTATTCCCCCATCCTCATGGAAAGAAAAAAAGGGAACAAGTGGTCCCTTGGGTGTTGTAACCAAGCAAGCAGACACTTCCAAAGGTAAGTGTCAGATGCTTAACTGCAAGATGGAATAAGACACGTTATCCAACCAAGCTTCACTCTGATGCAGCAAGTCCTACATTTTAGATAGAAGAAGCAATAGGGTGGGGATAATTTATTTAAAGACAGGCTGTGTGTTAATGATGGAGTGGGAAACAGCATCAAGTCCCCTGATTCACAGACAAGGTCATATCTGCCCAAGAACCATGAGTGTAGACAGTGACGCTAAGACACAAGGGGCAAGCAGCCTGGGGAGGAGGGGAATAACAGCCTGAGGAAACACTCTGGAAAAAGTAAGTTAAACAAATCCCGAAGTCCTTGTAGTTGTTCTAAAGAGTGCCTGTGGGTTCTACATTTCTGGAGAAGGTAACCAAAACTAAATGAAAATATGACTTTGGGACTGCATGTTACATGTCTGGCTTGGAAAAGCTAAGACAGAAGGTGGAGAAGGAGCTGTAAGAAATACTGGACACATGGTACCAGGGGAAACATTCTTTGGGGAACAGACCTTCCACAGAAACGAGAAGTGCTGTGACACCAAATGGCCTGCTAAGGGAGGGCAGGAGCTGCAGGTGAGTACTCCTTTATCCCTGGGTGTCATTCTTACTTGCCACCACCAGAAGAGTGACTCTTGAGTTGCATGTGGAAAGCACAGGTGAGAATGAGCAATGCTAAGAATATCTTTTTTCTCTTCTATCTGATATGATCTGACATCAAGATTTTTGAAAACAGAATCACGGCTAGACAACCAAAGTAAATTTCATTTAAAGAGCTGAGATTTCATGCCACTTTGGTTGAGCATTCCTCTAATTTAACGTTTGCAGTTGTCTTTCTGTGTGTCCCTCCTTCTGTGTCCTCTCAGAGCCACTCCGGGAGGCTTCTGACTGTTGCCAACACCATTCGAGGCAGGGCACAGGCCCCTCTTGCTGAGCTGGGCTAGGGGAGTCACACCAACCGGACCACCCAGGCAACTGTCCAGGGTCGTGAGAGACAAACCAAGGATGCGATCAGGATATGGGGGCGGGTTACCAGGCTAGAGGCAGAATCACTGGGATCAAGATGGTGCACAAAGTGAATATGGCAAGTAGGAAATGATATCTCACAAAGGAATTAAGGCTCAGAATGAAAAAACAAAACAGCAACACATGAGGTGACAATCAAAAGTGGTGGCTGGAAGTACCAGTAGGGCCACATAAGATGGCAGGCAGAGAGGAAATTGCCAGGAGGCCTTGACTGTGAGCCTCCCTCTTCCACCTGGCCCTGTGTAATGGGTTAAGCTCCATATTTGAACGTCTCCACAGGACTTAACAAACAGATCCCCAGTGTACACATGAGGAAACTCAAGTGGAGGGAAGCTTGTCCTAGTGATTTGAACAATGTCGTGCAACTAGTTGGAGGAACACCCAAATTAAAATCTTACCTCTCCAATTTTCTTTTTATCTGTGCACATAATTAATACACAGCAAGATGCTTGCATTCTTCAGATGCATCTGAAGAGATGGTCCCAATGTATGACTCGCTATAGAGTAGAAGCTCAATAGGAAGCACTGCATGGCAAGGTGTTTATGATTGGGAAACACCTTAAAAACATAGCCAACTCTCAGTTCTCTCTGTGCAGATTGTACCATGGTATTAGAGGCTTTCCTCCCTTACTGTCTGTTGGTGTGAAATGGGGTAAGACAGATGAATTTCAGAACCATTTTTTAGTCTAAGCAAATCACAACCAAGAACGTCAGTCTGCTGGGGAAACAAAAACCCCCAAACCAATGCCTTTGTGGCTAAATAGGGCCAAAGCTCCTCTTCCTCGAATAGTTTATTAAAGGTCAAGGGTAGTTCTATCCACTAAGTGAAGTCAACCCCAGCCCACTGCTTTTTCTGTAACTTGACTTGGGAGAGCTGGAACTTCTGTGTCTTTGGCTTGAAGACGGGGCATTGTCCATGTCAAATTACTAAAGAATAAAGGTCTTGGTTGACTTGCAACTGGAACCTGGCACCATGGGTCAATGGTTCTTACATAACAAAGAAATAAACAGAAGAGACTTCAAATTATCTATTAAGAGAAAGCTGGACCAGGGATGCCTGGGTGGCACAGTCGGTTAAGTGGCCAACTCTTGGTTTTTCAACTCAGGTCGCAGTCTCAGGGTCCTGAGATCGAGCCTCGCATGGAGCTCCACGCTCAGTGCAGAGTCTGCCTGGGACTCTCTCTCTCTCTGCGCCACCCCACTCTCTCTCTAAAATAAATTAATTTAAAAAAGAGAGAGAGAAAGCTGGACCAAAGTTTACTGACTCACTGATTAACATAACACAACAAGCATTTCAAAGATGGCTATCTGTGGAATAAAACTGAAAAGTGATGCTGGGAATACACTCTAACTTGTCTCACCTTTTAAATATTTATTATATTATTATCAAAGCTGTAGTCTTATCCCTTAATAAGGATGATAACCACACGACCAAAGCAAATATGTTTTGAATAATCCTGACAGTTTTGGAACCTCACGCTGGGAAGACGCTTTGAAACAGGAATCTGGAACTCGGGACACAGGGCAGGGTTTCTTCAACTCGGCGCTACTGACATCTTGTACCCGATAATTTTGCTGTTGTTGGGGGACTGTCTTGCAACATCCCTGCCCTCTATCCACTAAATGCCAGAAGCCACAATCCCCACTTCCGCCCTGCTCAATCCTGACAATCAAAAATGTCCTTACATACGGCCAAACATCTGCCGAGGGGCAAATTATACCTGGTTTAGAACCACTGGTCTAGAGGTATTCTCTCTTTAAGACCATGTGGGTAAATATACTAAAGTAAAAGGAACCACATCAGGACAGTAAAGGTTTTCATAGTCATTATTACATATGATTTCATACTTTGCAAATGTATGCTGACATGCTCACAGCAAAAGTATACTCACTGTGCACAAGAAAACAGAAATCTCTCCACATCAGCAGTAGAGTGAGTTTTGTAAAGCCTTCTGCATCATATTCCACGACGCCTCTAGATGATAAACACACACACACACACACACACACACAGAAAAAACCCTCATCAAAATAAGGCATAAGAGAGATGGAACCAAGTAAAGAATATATTCATAAAATCACGGTGATTGAATCTGAGATGCATTTAGGGTTAAGGAAGTGTTACCATAGGAAGGACGTGGGGTGTGGAATGACAGCATCTACGTTCAAGTTACAGTTTTGCTATGTACTATTATGACTTCAGGACAAGTGAAGCCATCAGGTCAGCAATGACACTACTTTCTGGGTGATGATTAAGTCTCCCTTTCACATAGCCACTAAGCAGTAATGAGCAATGACAACGTTACTCAGTTTAGGAATCTATATTATTTTCTTCCAAAGCACTTGGAATCTTTTCACTTGTGGTCTGTCCTCCCCACCAGGCTCAAGATGAAGAAGCCATATTAGCTGGGTGGGTGCTGGTTCGGATGGGAGACACACAGGTCACGGGTCATGTGTCAAGGAGAACGGCCCTGGACCGCTGAAGTGCCTGGGTAGACTTCCGACAGGCTCGCCCCCCCATTTTCCACAAGAGCTGATGCCCGGGACACGTCACCATAACATGACAATACTAACCACACACTGAGGACAGACATCACTGTCTCTGTCATTCACACCAGGAGGCGTATGCTGTCTTCCTGGCTGAGTCAGGCCAATCAGACTGTCAATCCTGATGGCCTCCCAGTTTAAGTAGGAAGGGGGAACTCACTGTAAAGGTAAAGGAACTAAGACACTAAAGGCTGAGTGATTTGCTCAAAGACTGTTAGTATACCATTCAGATCTTCTGACTTAGGTTAATAATTTTATTCATCAGTTTATATTTCTTTTCATGAATCTGTAATCAACTCAATTATGTTACAACACTGCTATCTAAACTTTTCAGATCCTGCATGCTATAAGTAAAAACAAGCACAGAATCCTTTTCATTATGCACACAGTATAGTAATATAATAGCAATTGTATTCGATTTAGTAGTTGTATACAGGTACTACTATATTACTGTATTGTATGTATAATAAAACATATACAAAATGTATATTTAAAAAGAATGAGTTTTTTGTTTTGTTTTTTTTTAAAGATTTATTTATTTATTTGAGTGCGAGCATGAGCTGGGGACAGGGGCAGAGGGAGAAGCAGGCTCCCCGCTGAGCAGGGAGCCTAAGGACGCAGAGCTCAAACCCAGGACCCTGGGATCATGACCTGAGCGGAAGGCAGATGCTTAATCGACTGAGCCACCCAGGCGCCCCAAGAATGAGATTTTTAAAAAGATGTAAAGGCAGTTTTCCTATTTTTCTTGTGTGCCAGCAGAGTGAGGGGGGACACACACCCTTACCTGGGAGGTTACTCTGCCAGCCCCTTCATTTTTAATTATACATATTAAAGATAATCTTCCTCAAAAATCAGAAGACCAATGGTATCATTTATTAACCACTGTTTGTATCCTAAGTACTTTCCCAAAATGTTCATAAATAAAGCTGAAAAAAATCGTAAGTATTAAAGACTCATGTGAGAGACAGTCACACTGTTTAGATATTGACAGTTCTATTTTGGAGGCATAAAAATTTCCACTAGGGATAATGAGAAAACTTCTTAAAATTGTTTTTGAGGAGTCAGAAATTTTGCCCATTATTATGCTACACTTTATAGCCCAGGGAATGGCCAACCTTACTCTTTATTTCACCTGCTCCTTCCTATTCCCACTTTTTTGGTCCTAATTTATTCATTTCCTTATTTAAAATTTTAATTTTGTGTTACTATATATATCTTTCTGTATTTATAAACCTTCTCCAGAATAAGGTGGGATAGTAGCAGACCACTGACCCCCTTAGGGCTCACTGCCCCTGAATGGGTAGAACGCCCCGCCTTTTGAAGAAGACTGTGGGGAAAACAGGTTCCCTCTGCCCCTGGGCTAAGCTCAAGGAGGCCTCTGATGTCATCTAAGGAAACAGAGCTGCAGAGCAGCAGGGCCACTGCACTGGCAACCTGCAGGGGTGGGGCGGGGGGGGGGGAAGGGCTGAGGCGGGGGGCGGGGGGAGTTGGGGGGGAGTAGCAGTAGGAGGAGACGCCCCCTCTGCCTGCAGTCACAGGTGTCCCCCTCCCCTCCCTGTGCCTCCTCCTAATCCTAAGTGGGAGTCGCTGCTCTTGGGTCTAATGCTGGATTTCGTCCACAGATCTGGGTGGCAAGTTACGAGTAGGAGCCCTGTTGGGACACCTGAGTCCTGAGAACCCGGGCTCCCACCCTGGCACGATCTCTGCCAGGCGGGTGACTTCCCTCGGGCTACTAGGCTTCTCAAAGTTTCTGGTCTTTCTTGAGTCAACTGTGCCAATATGGCTGGCTCACTCATGACTCCTGGGAGCAGACGGAGGTGAAAAGCACTGGGCAAACTGTAAAGAGCCCTAGAACAAGCCCGTAGGGCTGCCCTTGTTACTGCTGGGTTTGTGGTTAGTCATGATGCTGCTCCAAGGAAGAGATCTGCTTCTATGATTTAGCAAAGGATCCTAAAAAACGATCTTCCTAGGAGCTTTAGTGTGATCCACATACCAAAAAGACTCCAAATGGCATTGAAAAGCTAGTATGTAGAAGCCCACAAACTGCTATTTTCTTAATCAAGCCCTCACATTCGGGCCATCAGGACATGAGGACATTGCTGGCATTCAGTTTAAACAAGGAGGAACTTACGTGCCGAAGTGACTGAGGAAAGCAGCAATATACTCCCTTCTTTTGTGGTACCCTTGAATCACATACTGCACCTGGAACAGAACCCGAAGATGAGGAGTAGGGAATTCTCAAATGCTTTCTTACATTTCCAAGACTCAGAGAAGTAGAAAGAATGGTAAAATGAATACCCACATCCCCATCACCTATGTTCAACAACTGTGAATATTTTGTCTAGCTGCTTAATCCAGCCATCTACCTCCCCATCAAGCTATCATTCAATCTTGGCTGAAACACTTCAAAGGAAATTAAAGACACCATGACAGTTTGCCCCTAGACAGGTGAGCATGTATCTCCAAAAAACAAGACATTTTCCTACAGAGCCACAATGTCATTATCATACCCAACAAATCTAGCAATCATTCTCTGACTTCATCTAGTATCCTGGGCATTGTCACAACTTCCCAGTTGTCCCCAAAATATTCTTTTAAAAGGCAGGGTATAATCTAGGGTATAATAAAGGATCAGGCATTTAATCTAGAAAGTCTTTTAATGTAGAATAAGAGTACCTCTTGGGGTGTGTACATTTGTCTATGTGATATACGATATTGACTTTTCAGAGAAATTGGGCTAGTTGTCGTGTAGGATGTTCTGCATTCCAGACTCTCTGGTTGTTTCCTTCCTATTCCCTCTACTCCCTACATTTCCTATAAATCGGAAGTTAGACTAAAGGTGTGATTAGATTCAGGTTAAAAATTTTTGGCAAGAAAACCTCATAGGTGATAGTGGGCTTGATCACTGGTTAAGGGGACGACAGCAAGAGCACTCCACTGTAAAGGGAGGTTTCCCCTTTGCCGCTGGGAGTGACCCGTGGGCATACTTCTCAAAGCTTGTGAAGATCTAGCCCCCCTCTCAACCTTTCACCTCATGGTTTTAGTACCTGCCGGAGATGCTTGTCTGAATCAATTATTTCATTAGGAGCCGAAAAATGGCGACTTTTTAAATTCTGTCACTCTGTTGCGCATTTATCAGCTGCAGTTGTCTGTAAAAAAGAGCTTCCTCTCATCAGTGGGGGCTATTTTATGCTGAACTACAACTCCTATTGAAAAGGCAGGACAACGCTGAATTCTTTCTTTTCAAATTCCCAATATCCAGGAAAGGAGTGTTACAATAGGGGATTTTATTTTGCCTTTTTATATTTCCTTGTTATCACCAAATGACAGTTTTTATAAAAAAAAAATTGTGAACTTATTAAGCTGGACATCTGAAAGTTAGTCATTTACCCACCAGCTACTAACACCAAAATACATTCCTTATAATGTCCTCAAAGAAATGGCTCAAAGAAACGGGAGAAAGAGGCCCCCCAAATTGTTTATATTGGCTGTAGCCACAATGAGTTTCCATGGCTAACAAAAGCTTGAGATAAAGTGCTTGAAATAACCTTGACACAATTGGTAGTGATAGCCACTTTGTACCCTTTAAAAGTAAAACAATTCTATGTATATAATAGGGGTTTATGTCAATTTATAAAAACAGTGCTTACTTTGCAGGCTTAATGCAGGATCAGAAATGTTATTTTGGGAAAAGAAAAACAGATGATAAGTTTGCTTAAGTGGCTTTGTTTAAAAAGGGGATGAAAACAGTTCTGTGTACTTGATTTTAAAAACAGAAAACCATTTTAACAGAAACCCACAACAAAACTGGCTATAAAGATAGATTCCAACGTAATTATGGAAATTCATTTGAAGAGATTGTTTCTAAAAGCAGCCCATACTGTCCTCGTTTGTAGCAAGCATAAGAACATAAATTTTAAAAGACAAGTAAAATTAATGAAAGGGAACCAGATAAGAAAAACGGACTGATTCTTGTATTTCGGGGAAAATGGTAATAGAATTTTTTTTTTTTTTTTTTTGAGGAAAATGTATGACTAGAAATTAATCTCAATTGGAGAGCTTTAAAAAAAGGCTTTTCTTCTCAGTTCTGGAAGACCAAATTTGCATGTTTCTCTATAATACTGGGACACAGATTTGAAGGCAGTGCAAAGTCCCACAATGTAAATAAGAATTCTATCCTCCGATCAGTTTTGAAGGAGGGCAGAGGCTGGGGGAGTTTGGTCCAATGAGAAGCAACCATCCCACGAGTTAGATGCCCTGGAGTCCGCGCCAAGCCCAGGGACTTCAGACTTGCCAGATTTTCATTTCCCTGACATTTAAAAAATAATACTGAAGCCTCTGAAATATTATTGTACTTTAAAATATTTCCTATATAGAGATGAGCTATCTTTTGAAAGAAAGAGACAAACAGAAGATTTCTTTCCCAAGCCAATGAGCACAAGTCAATAGGAGCATAGGAGACAGTACTTTGGGAACTGAGCAAACGGAGTCAGTCAATGTGGGAGAAGAAAGAAAGTCAGTATTGCTTGTGGACGAACATCTCTGGTTTTCAGCTAACTACACCGGTGTACTTTTTAGACATATCTGGCAATAGCCATTAATGTAAACTCAGCTACTCGCCAATGTACTGACTCATTCTTGCAGCTAAGAGAAAGCTTTAGATAACCTGATGGGCCTGCCTACCAGACCAGCTGACCTGGAAATCTTGCCCCTGGGAATGGGACTCTGGCAAGCTACTCCTAGACAGGACATGGAGAATCAAGCACTGACTGGTAAAAAGTGAGGTAGAGAAAAGCAGAAAGAGGTGAAGGCAGTTCTAGTGAATTACCTTGATACTCACTGGTGGCAAACACACACTCACACACACTCACACACACCCACACTCATGCATGCATGCACGAGATAACTGGGAAATGGAGGAGTTCAAAGGTGCAAGATCTAGCAAAAACTTAGGACTTAAAGGAAATTTAAGGAGGAGGAGGTAGAAATTTAAAAGATGAAGATAAGACTGGAACAGGAGGTCAGAATCCTTAGGAAGGAAGAAGGAGCACAAAGAACTAGGGAGAGCAATGGATGGACTGTAATTCGAAGTACGAAAGGCCGGTGTCAGGTGGCACCTGAAGCCAAGATGGGGTGCAGAGGCGGAGCCTGCAGGACAACGCCGACAATGCCGATAATGTCGACAATGCCGACAATGCCGGGGCGGGGCTATGCTGGAGGGAGGAGCCTCGTGAGGGGAGGGTCAGGAGACTTGCTTTTACCTTGTTGGTGAGTAGGTGGCATACTTGAGGCACATAATCAATGAGACATCCTCCTCCTGGAAAAGCTGGGATATGAAGAGCTGAGGAGCCTCCAAGTGCACTGAAAGGACAAGAGTACAAGGGACACTTCTCTTAGGGCTCCAGCAATGTAGGAAGTGATAACCCCAAACAGACTCGCCTTCTCTTAACGTCTGCCCACCAACCACTTGAGTTAATGAGGATGGGAACACGGGCTTCACTTTATGATTACATTTCTTTATTTTTATCTGTTTTGTTAAATCAGCATGTTTAGATTGCCCATGACTACCAACTAATGATCAGTAAAAACTAATGATTCCATCACACAACAGGACAAATTAGCACATTCTGATTGGCGTGGGTAAATGTCTTACCAATATTAATGGGTTGGACCTCGGATGGACACACACATTTCCGTACTCTCCATTATGTGCTGGGCAAAGACAAGTCACTCCTTAAACCCCCATACTGAACTGAACTGAATTCCTCCAGTACCACCAGGGCGCAATGGAGGGACTGGCTCTGCCCCTTACCAGCTTTATTGCCCCGGGGGAAGCCTCCTGGGGCTTTAGCCTCCTCGAGTCTAGTGTGGGGCCAGTGGTCTAGGACAGGGGCTGCATGCAGACTCCAGGCTCCACCCGGCCCAGGGAGGTGATACAAATGAGCACAGAGAACTGGAGAGTTTCTGCACAGTGGGAAGGGCTCTCCACCATTCAACTCCAGCTGATCTCTGCCATGGTGGAAACACAAGCCTGGTCTTCATGGACCCTTATTTTTCACCTGAGGCCAGAAATCCAGATGATTTAAGTTCTCAAGTTTTAAATGGTGGCAACTAACTAAACATCTTCTGAAACACTGTGTCTCTGGGTCAATCTGGGTAAAGTCCGCAACTAGTCCAAGTCAACACTGACATTCATCTAAACAAGAAGGTGCAGTCAAAAATCATTGATCCAAGCACTAAGACACAACGCTGATCCAGAAATAGTTTCCAGGACTTTTGTGGAGATTCCCTTTCAGTTTAAATCAACCAGCATACCATTATTAAAGAAACTGCTCAGAACCTCACAGTATACATTTTGTATCCCATCCTTAATCTTGATTTCATCTTCTTTCCTACTCTCACTTTCCTTTGGTCCTAATTTGCTTTTCTTGTTTGAATTTTATTTTAATGTATAGGTTTCTTACTGTAAAAGCCCCTTAAACCACCTCTGTAATATGGTGGGGTATAAAGAGACCCCTAAGATCCGTTAATGCTGTGATTATTCATTAACCAAATCCCCAGTTACAAGGCTGTAAATGGAAGCAAAGTGCTTCACAATAACAGTCTAGAAAATCATTCTTAAATAGTTTAGAGCAGACAGACTTAGCCTAGGGTTTGCAATACAGGGAACAATACACGTAAGTACTGAAAGGGTCCCAGACCCAACCTGTCTCCCTATTGACCACAGATTCCTGAAATTAATTTTTCCAGTAGAAATGGATATTATGGGGCGCCTGGGTGGCTCAGTTGGTTAAGCGACTGCCTTCGGCTCAGGTCATGATGCAGGAGTCCCTGGATCGAGTCCCGCATCAGGCTCCCTGCTCGGCGGAGAGTCTGCTTCTCCCTCTGACACTCCCCCCTCTCATGTGCTTTCTCGCTCTCTCTCTCATTCTGTCTCAAATTAAAAAAAAAAAAAAAAAAATCTTAAAAAAAAAAAAAGAAATGGATATTATGTTTATTTATTTATGGAATGAAAAAGCCCCAACACGTGAATAAAATCCCGGGTGATGTGAGGAAGTCAACGGGGTGGAAATATTTGCTGTTGACTTTTTCTATTCAGATGAGACCTAAAAAGCACAACAACTCTGACAACTGAGAAAATTATGAGACAGCATTTGACTAAGTATGACATTAATGAATCATCTACAGTCTGCAACTGCACAGAATCAGCAAGAACATCACTTCCGTTTGCTACTCTCAGAGCAGACATTGGAGGAGATTCAGCCTAAACTCTGAAGGAAGCTAGGAAAATTCCTATGACTTCTTGTGAACTGGAAGAAGGCTTTTTGTCCCCTCTTTTGTATGCAAAAGTACACAAAGAGCACACTTCTAAGTGGAAGGTTCTAACAGTTCCATTAGGATGGAAACTGATTAAGAAGAAAATTCTACAGTACAAGAGAAAGAGATCCAATATTTTTATCTTATCGTTCCTGGGGGGAAATATCTGTATAACATAGAAATACCAAGATCCAGGCTTCTCATAGCGTACTTGAAGAACAATCTTTAGCATAATGAAATTCCAGAAAATAAAATCATTTGGACAGTTTCCTGGAATTGATTACAATGGGCTTCGACCTGTATACAATATTACAGGACAAGTTCTTAATCATTCATTAAATTGAGTACAAAAAAATGAAAATAGTCTGGGGGTAATCCTCTAAACTTGAGACTCCCTCTGCTTCTGACACATAGCCATTAAACAAAAATTACCTATAATGATGGAAAGAGGCAGAGGCGTGGAGAAGTCCAAAGACTGGCTGCTTGGCCACCGGGCCCATCTCTCTGCACTTTGCTTCTGTGGTTATCAGGAACTAACACTTATTGCTAGGTGCTTTCTCATTACCTAATTTAATCCTCCCCACAATTCAGTGAGGTAAGAATTCGCACTGTAATTCTACAGGTGAAGAAACTGAGGCTCAGACAGCAGAAGAAATTCCCTTGGGTTCACACAACTAGGAGATGGTAAAGCAAAGATCTGAACTCGGGTTGGCCTGTTGCTGGAGTCCACGCTGTTACTGCCGGATTCCGTGCCTCCCTGAGAGCAGGGGGATTTGACTCTTGAAACGGCTCCAGGGATGGGAAGAAACAGAGGGTGTGGCCCCCCTGTGAGCCAGGTCAGGACTGCAGTGATGCCATCGGGCTTCCAGAAGCACCCAGACCACCACTGAAGCAGGCTCTGTGATGTACACCTCGTTTCTCTTTACAGTTTTCCGCCCCGCAGCAGAGCAAGCATCCCCATGCATTTTGCTCCTACCTCAGTCTCTCCCACCCCAACCATCAAACAACCACAATCGCTGGATTTATTTTTAAAAGGACACTTACTGCACCCTTTCTTTAACTCAGTAGTTCCTCAGCTTGTGAGAGTACTGAACCTGACTGCCAGCATCATATACTGATAAGCACTGCTGATTCATGTATAAATATCCGCCTTGTGGGTAAATATTTAACAGGCCTGCTATAGCCCGAATGCTGCCCTGATTGTGCTGAATAAACAAAGTCAAGTGCCATGAAACAAAAAGCTATTACGTTTTTAAAGCGTGCAGGACGGAGGTCCAGCCGGGTGAGCTCTAATTATTTAATATTCATGAATCAAAAACTATTGAGTGGAGCACATACAACGAAAAGCTCAGCATGTGCAGAGGTTGCAGGACTCCCTGAGCGCTTCCCAGGGGTGCAGGGCTGGCTGGAGAGAAGGCAGGGCTGGACTGACAAGCTCCGTGGTGGCGGGGAGGGGCAGGGGGGAGCAGGGCGAGCAGGGGATGGAAGGGACCACTGCTGTGGATTCTTCTGATCTCCAGACCCGTGAGGGGAGGAAGCAGGGTAAAAAGTGAGGAAAAGTCAACTAGAGCGGTGGGGGTCTCAGGCTGAGATTGGGAGGACAGAGGGGTGAAGGGGCCGTTTTGATGAGAAAGTACCTCACGTCTCTTTACGGACTGAAATGAGACGTGAAATTAGCTGCTAATTCTCAGACCTGGGAATTCAGAAACTGAATCTGTGGATATAAATTAGAAGGACAAGGCCAGAGTCTGAGAAACCTTTCCAACAATGGAGTTAGACAGACCAAATAGTAGCCAGAAAAACACTTCCAGGTCCGCCTCACTGGATCTAAAAATCAAATATAAGAATTGTCTGTGTTCACTGTATTGATACGATTGTTTTCTATGCAAATACTGCTAATAGAGCCTTTTGGGAATGGGGCTCTGTCTGCAAATATTCAGAGCACTTGTAATATTGAAGACTTGACTTGGCTACGGTGCTACAGCTCAAGGGAAGTATTTTTGAGCATTTTGACATGGAAAAACGCAGGGAGGCGGCCTGTCTGAAGGTCTCACTTGGGACAATGGGGTTTGATTTAACCCATTATGGAGCGGTAACTCCCTCCTCTCCGTGTGGGGTTTTACCTCACTGGCCAAATAAAATGAGCAAAACATGACTTGGCACTGGAGAAAATCAGAAGGGCCAGTGATTTTCAATCATAATTCTTGCTTCCGCCACATTTGTTGTTTGGTTCTACTCAATTTTCTCATCAGTGCCGTGGGATAACACTATTCTCAAAAAGACCCACCTCTCTCAAGTGATAAAGCAACAATGAGAATTAGAGTAATATGAAGAGAGCACCAAACACTCTACGAGTGACTTTATTCTAAAATGTCTCCTGCTTGTGTGCGCTATGGTCAAGGGTTATGTCAAGGCCCTGTTAGAGACACTTGGATCAGCGTTACCATCCTGCTCTGCCTCCGAATCGGGTTCTGAGGGAGAGGAAGATGATCTGGTTGCCTCCTCCACAGGATGATTCAGGGGAGTGTTGGAGGGTGAAGCACTGACAGGGGGAACTTCCAGGATGGTAGATGGACTCAAGCTGCCATGAGCCCCCAAGCTAAGACACATCCTAAGGAAAGGTGAACTCTCAATTGAACTCAACAAACACTCACTGTATGCCCAACTCTGTGTAAGGACTTCAGTTTCCTGTTCTGGATCCGTATTAGGGCACTACTGCTAATTCCCTTCAAGGTAGAGGAATGCCAAGCCCTCAGGAATCTGGGGCACTCTATAATGCCAGAGTATGTTTCCTGGTGGCCTGCCAGGAGACCCATTACAGCAAAACACAAGTCACTGTGATTTACTGAGCATCTGCTTTAGCCAGGCACTCTACTAGGCATTTCATTATCTCTAAACCTCATAACAACCTGGCCAAGTAGACCTAAGTAGTCCAATTTACAGAAGGGGATGCTGAGATTCTAAGGATCTAAGTGTCTTTCCAAGGTCACCCAGCAATTAAGCTGCAGAGATGGGCTCAAAACCCAGTCTTCTTGGTTCCAAGG